TTGTAGTTTTCAGAGTATATTTTTGCACTTCTTTTGTTAAATTTAATTCTAGGTATTTTATTCATTTCATGCCATTCTGCAGGTGGCATTTTGATGGGAAGTTATGGTAGTACTTCTGCAAAGTCCTCTTACCAGGCAAAGGGGTAGAGTGAGCGTGGAGTTGAAAAACATCTCCAGTTGTTGGCAGGGGAGGGAGATTAGGGCATCTTCTGTGACTGGGCATGGAGGGGGTACCTCAGCCTGCCAAGAATGCTGGACACTCAAGTATCAATGATTTTCCCTCTTTCCCATTCTAATCAAAACTCCAGGTTGAGAGGGCTTGGGGGAGGGGAGTGAGTAGTTGAAGGTAGATAGCCCTGGATTAATAGGAATGCAATTTGATGGGATAATTCACATTAATATTTAAATTAATAATACCCACCCCCACCCCCAACTTCTGAGATTTATCTGCTTTTCTCAAAGAGGAAAATGGAGGGCTCACATCAGTGGTCGGCAAACTCATTAGTCAGCAGAGCCAAATATCAACTGTACAACAGTTGAAGTTTCTTTTGAGAGCCACATTTTTTAAACTTAAACTTCTTCTAACGCCACCTCTTCAACATAGACTCGCCCAGGCCGTGGTATTTTGTGGAAGCGCCACACTCAAGGGGCCAAAGAGCCGCATGTGGCTCGTGAGCCGCAGTTTGCCGACCACGGGGCCCAGATGAATCACTAATCAGGAGAACCTTAATAGCGCAGAGAAGGAAGGAGACCATTGGGAACGGGAGAAAATATTTTTTAGATTTGATCTGGGAGTTGGATTGCTTTGAGGAGAGGATGCCACAGCGCAAGTGAGAAAGTCAGTCTTACCTGCCTGGCTGGTCTGGTGGCTAGTAGCTCCTCTCTCCCTCCTCTGCTTTTTCATGGCTCATTTCCTTCAGTTCTGTGTGTTCTATCATGTTTGACACCAGCTTTCAAGCCTGCCTCCACCTTAAGCTCTTGGAACCTGGTCACACCTCCAGAAGCGAGAGGAATATTTTGTTCTAGAGTTGACTACTCCTTCTGACACAGCAAAGAAAAGATACACAGATTATTTCCTTATAAAATACCCTTCTCTCTCCTCTCTCTGAGAAAGGCCCTGTCTCTCCGGAGGCTGGTTATGAATCCACCTGCCTTGTCTTCTAGGGGCACATGCGATTTCTCTTGGCTTCTGTGTTGGAAACACAGAAGAATATGCCTCATTGGCTTATGAAATTACATATTGCAGTGGGTCAGTAACTGCAGACTTCTGCTAAAACCAGTTTCACTCTGATTAGGATGCCCTCGTGGCTTCGATGTCTATGCAAATCGCATTTCACGATTATCATGCTTGTTGGGCCCATCAGCCTTTGTCATGAGATGGTAGGAAAACCCAACCCTATGCTACTGAACACCTCGCCTTTATTTTCATGTTTAAGAATGACATAAACCGTACTTGTTATTCCTTATTTCTCCACTGGAAACCTGTGTAGTCCTTTCTCTCTCCCTCACACAGTGAGTCTTCACACACTGCCAGAGAGAGGCCGCCCATGGTATTCAGACCATGGTTAGCCCTCACAGGTGTTTTTCCTGTTGACCTAAGAAAGGGCTCTGCATAGAGAATTGAAAGCACAGTATTTCATGTTCTATCGGTAGGGCCTTGCAAACTCCTGCCACCTGTTTTTGTAGATAAAGCCTTACGGGAACACAGCCCTGATCATATGATTACTTGTCCTCTGTGGGCGTCTTCTCACTGTCAACCACAGACCTGAGTGGTTTCAAGAGAGACTGTGTGCCCTGCCAGGCCTCAACTATTGGCCGTCTGGCCCTTTATATCGGGTCTAGTAATAATTAATGTCGTTTTTAAACATTCGTTTAAAATCTTGCTTGGCGTTGACTTGTATTGACATAACCTTCAAACACGTGGTATCTACAGAACGCGTGAAGTGCAATTAACAAGTTTTGCTTGAAAAAGTTTGTGTTTGGTTTGGTTTTTGTTGCAAAACTACGGCTAAGAAGATGACGGATGAAGAGCATATTCGGCACTGCATGCTTTATGAGTTCCAATTAGGAAGAAAAGCAAGTGAGGCTGCAAAAAACATCTGTAGCGCTCTTGGTCAAGATGCAGTTAGCGCCAGAAAATGCCAGCGTTGGTTTGAGAAATTTCGCGAGGGAAATTTTTCATTAGATGACAAGAGTGGTCGAGGCTGTGTGTCCAATTTTGATCAAGAAGCTCTTCAAGCTCTTTTGGTGCAAAATCCTCAAATTACCCAACAAGAGCTTGCGACAACTTTAAATTGTTCACAAAAAACAATTTCCAATCAATTGCGTGCACTTGGCAAAGTCCAAAAGTTTGGAAAATGGGTTCCTCATGAGTTGACCGACAACAACCGTAATCAAAGAGTCACAATTTGCAGTTCACTCCTCTCTCATCAAAACCGTTTGCCGTTTTTAGAGCAAATTGTTACCGGAGATGAAGAATGGGTGCTGTATGTTAATTTGAAAAGGCGGCCTCAATGGTTGGACAAAAATGAGGCTCCGCAGCCCACGCCAAAACCTGACTTGCATGCGAAAAAGTGATGATGTGTGTTTGGTGGAATTTTAAAGGAATTCTTCATTATGAACTTTTACCATCTAACCAAACCATTACAAGTGCAGTGTATAGTGCCCAATTGGAAAGGTTAGCCCAAGCTTTAAGAGAAAAAGAACCCGCGCTGATTAATCGGAAGGGCGTAATTCTTCACCACGATAACGCACGACCGCATACTGCAAGAATCACTGCTGAAAAACTGCGCCAGTTGGAATGGGAAATTCTCCCTCAACCTGCATATTCTCCTGATATTGCCCCTTCCTATTACCATTTGTTTTGTTCTTTGCAAAACTTTCTTCTTGGAAAAAAATTTAATAATGAAGAATGCCTCAAAAATGCATTGACCGAATTTTTTGCATCAAAATCACAAGAATTTCACAACAGAGGGATTAAAATGCTTCCTGAGCGTTGGGCACAAGTAGTAGAAAACAACGGCAACTATATTGTTGATTAAATTTTGTTGTATTGTTTAAATAAATTCGATTTAAAAAAGTATTAGAAAATGACATTAAGTATTACTAGACCTAATAGAATACAGTTGCAGACCCCGCTCCATAGAATGTTAACTTGGTTTCGCAGACATCTTGTATTTTATAGAAGAGGTATTTCAAGGTGGACATGGAGGTGGTTTTTGGTTTTGGCGGTCATGGGGGTGTGAAGACACACACTGAGTCTCTCGGGGGAGTTTCTGCAGCTGCCGTGTTTCCCATTGCTCGCACACCTGGCCTGTGGGTACCCAGCTCTCACCTGAACAACAGGTTGGAGAAATCGTCCCCATGGACTGGAATGGTGTGAGGTGTATGAGTCCTTGGAGAAGAGGAATTGGGAAGGAGGGTGGATTGCAGGGGTGGCCGTCCAGGTGTGTGTGGCTCCCCGGGGGAGGGGGCGATAAAAAGCTCTAGGGACAGCCTGTGGATGGGCACCCAGGGGCAGGTGTCCATGCTCACTGGCCTAACAGCCTCCCAGCACGGCAAGAACTCTTCCAGACACATGGGCTGGCAAGTTGGAGCAAATCCAACATTTCACAACCCACCGGGGAGGATGGTTGTGTCGGCGGGCAGTTTCTGGTGAGCAGCTTTGGTTTGCCAAATTACACCAGTTGACCTTTAATCTCGACCCACCACTGTTGTGCTTTCGCCTAATTTCCTGTCCCCACCAGGAGTTGCCACAGCAACGCCCAGTACCCAACGACATTGTATGCTCTCTTCATGCGTCTGACTGCTTTTTATTTCACATGAAGTAAAAATCTTTCACGATTTATGTTAGAGTCACTATTTCTTCTGATAGAACTGTGGTGTTTAATTTATCCTCTATAAGTTCTAGGAGAGGATTATTTATTTATTTATTTATTTTTAAAATGTATTTTATTGATTTTTTACAGAGAGGAAGGGAGAGAGACAGAGAGCCAGAAACATCGATGAGAGAGAAACATCCATCCGCTGCCTCCTGCACAACCCCCCACTGGGGATGTGCCCACAACCAAGGTACATGCCTTTGACCGGAGTCGAACCTGGGACCCTTCAGTCTGCAGGCCGATGCTCTATCCACTGAGCCAAACCGGTTTCGGCCGGAGTGCATGTTCTTCATATTCCTCACAGCGCCAGGGACAGTAGTGGAGATGGGAATATTTGGATGACGCTGATGGTCTGGACAATGGAGTCAGACTAAGTCTGAGTGAAATAAAGGCCAGTAGTGACCAGGCAGCCATAGCCACCTTTCGGATGTAAGAATATAGACCGTGCATTTGGGCAGGGGATTTAACATATATATTTTGGCAGGGAGCAGATGCTAGCTCCAGCGGCCTTTGGTAGTACATGGGGGTTTACAGAACAATAGGCAGACCTAGGCCGTGCAGGGCCTGGGACCAGCTGGTAGGCTGGCTCTGACCGGAAGGTCAGGATCAAGGTCCTGACATTGGTCTCCCCGGAGGCCACACCATCTGCTCTCTGAGCCTTGGAGCCCTTCCAACGTCTCAGAACGACCTGTTCCTTGAAAGTGTGGGCTGCTGGCACAGCCATCAGGGCTGCTCTCGGATGTGGGTCCCTCCGGACTTCTGTTCCCTTCTCTCCCTCTCCCTGCCAGTCAGCTCCCCCTGTCCCTCAGGGCCCTCTGCACCCCAGGCCTCCAGCCGCCCCAGAGTCACCGCGACTCCAGCCCACCTCTGCCTGGCCGTCCAGTTGAGGGCCTGTCGCCCTCCAGCTGCCGTGGACCTGCCATGTCCCAAACCCCCCAGCCCCAGTGCGGCCCCCTGTCCTGGCCGGTGGCCGGCGGGGTGGGGGCTGGGTTGGGGGGGGCAGCAGAGGTGTCCCCTCCAGAGACGGCGCTGGGAGTCTGGGGGGACTGGGGTGGTGGCTGTGAGGGGCTTCTCTGCTCCAGGTTCCCCGTCACCGAATGCTGGCATCTTGTTTTTCAGATCCGCCCTGCCCTGAGCTGAAGATGCTTCCGGAAGAACAGAAGGAGGTAGGTCCCCACCAACCCAAGAGCGAATAGGTCATGTGTGTTGTGTCACTGCAGGGAGGCGCTGCCCGCTCACAGGCTGTGTGTGGAGGGTCAAGGGCACAGGGAGGGCTAAGGCCCGGGGCACAGCGCCCCCCCCCCCCCCCGCCAGCAGAGGTGCGTCCCCGGCCCTCATTCTGGGTCCCAGTGACTGGGTGTTCCTGCTCTCCACCTCCCCGCACGCTTAGTTATGTCTTTTCCATGACTCCCCAGACTCTGCCTCCCCCTTGGCCGGAACAGCTCCCCCAGCCCGCTCCCTGGGTTTTCTCCTCTTGCCTCATCCCCGAACTTCCCCGCCTCTGGGAGCAGCCCGGGCCAGGCCTGCCATCCCTTTCCGTTTGCCCCGCTTGCCGCCTCTCGGCTCTCGGCGCGGTGCCACCTGAGCAGGGCACTGTCCCTCCCCACCCAGCCCACCTCCCAGCTCCGCCCAGCCTCCGCGCTGCCCTCCAGGACACCGCACGCCGCCCTGTGCCCGAGGCGTCCCTCAGCGGCCTGTCTGTCCTGCCTGCCTCCTGTGGTACCGCACACAGCACTAGGTGAGCCTAACGAAATGGAAAAGCTGCACACACCCCCCCCCACACCAACACACACACACACACACACACACACCAACACACACCAACACACACACACACACCCCAACACACCTGGGTGCACACCATCACACACACAAACACACACACCTACACAGACACACATGCACACAGACCCAGGCACACACACATACAAACACACACACACCCACACCAACACCCCACACACACACCAACCCACACACACACCAACACACCTGGGTGCACACCATCACACACACACACAAACACACACACCTACACAGACACACATGCACATAGACTCAGTCACACACTTGCATGCAGACACCCCACCCCATAGTCACACACCTGCACACAGTCACACACACGCACACAGACCTCCCCCCACAGTCACACAGCCACACAACCACGTGGTCCTTAGTTCCCTTGTCCAAATTGAAAGCACCAAACTATCCACTTCAGGGAACCCGTCCACACACTTCTTTGCTACATCTCACATCAGCCCTCCCCTTGGGCTCAGGTTCTCCTCAGTAGTCCAGCCCACTTCACCCTTTAAAAAAAAAAAAAAAAAAAAAAAAAAAAAAAAAAAAAATATATATATATATATATATATATATATATATATATATATATAATTGATTTCTTACAGAGAGAAAGAGAGGGATAGACAGAAACATTGATGAGAGAGAAACATCGATCAGCTGCCTCCTGCACACACCCTACTGGGGGTGGAGCCTGCCACCTGGGAATGTGTCCTGACCTAGAATTGAACTGCTGACCTCTGGGCGCATCTGTTGGTTTTAACACTTACTTTTTATTATGAACTCAGTTCAATGAATAGAAATGAGACACAAATTTTAACCAATTACAGAAAGCATTTTATTGACCTTGTAAAAGTCCTTTATTATAAATAACTGTGGTATCATTCATATAAATATAAATATAAATATAAATATAAATATAAATATAAATATAAATATAAATATATGGCTAAGTGACCAACTATCTGACCGTCCGACCAGCTGGTACATATGACATGCACTGGCAATTTAAAAATAAACATTGAATCGTGCATGCATGATATATATAAAGCTCTCTCTGGTGCCAATCTAGACAGAGTAGGAATATTCCCACCTGAACCTGTTTTCAGACATGGTCAGTTATATGTTGCTTTCTCTTGAGTTCGAGTGAAAGTTGTAAATACTTCATCACAAGGGAAATTAGTCAAGCACTCTGAAAGTGTTTTTATTCTTAATGTGGTTTAAAGGGATGTATTGGTTAAAGTTTAATCAATTTATCAGTCATTGTTTTTTATCAGTGTTGTTTTTATATCATGTTTTTATTGTTTTTTATATTATGTCTTTGTTATATCATGTTATTGTTTATTAATCAATTTATATATTATTTTCATATGCATTTTACTACTTTTATTTAATCTCTGACACTTCTATTATAAAGAAAGGGCCAATAGCAATATTAAAATATTTCTTCTAATTAATTTTCTTTCAGTGTGCATGAATCCGTGCACCAGGCCTCTAGTGATATTATAACATAAAGGGATTTTAAGCTGGAGAGCCCTTCAGCTGAAAAGGAAAAAAGTACTGTCGTCCGGCCGGTGTGGCTCAGTGGTTGAGCCTCTACTTATGAACCGGGAGTTCACAGTTTGATTCAGAGCATATGCCTGGGTTGCAGGCTCAATTCCCAGTAGTGGGTGTGCAGGAGGCAGTCAATGATACTCTCTCATCATTGCTGTTTCTGTCTTTGTTCCTCCCCCTTCCTCTCTGAAATCAATAAAAACATATTTTTTTTAAAGAAAAAATACTATGGGGAGAAAGAGGTATAATACTTAGAAATTTATTTGAGTCCCTCATCAAAAAATAACCCCACAAGACTAGATTCTGGATGTACTGTAATATATGTTCATCACTTACTAATCCATAGAAAATGGATTTTACATGTGGCCAGAATGATCTGGCTCCTAATGTGTCACTCTTAGAGCAAAGTCCAACCTCCTAAATGAGGCTGCTAAGGCCTTTTGTGATCTGACTCTGCTTCCTTCTCCAGGCTCATCTTCTGCCCCTCCCCCACCCCTTCACATTTCTCTTCAGTTGGAGCTTGTTGGGTGTTGCCTGCTCTGCACCCTGGGCCCTTTGCCTCCCCCCCCCCCCCCCCCCCCTTTCCCCCAGACTTCACACCAGCTTGTCTGACTGAGCTTAGATGTCAAGAAGAGGCATTCTGAAAGCCTCCATTATAAAGTTATTTTTATCTCACCGCCTACCCCAGCAGCTCCCTGTCCCCCTTACCAGTTAGAAGTGGAGGAGGTTTTGGCTGAGCCTCTGGAATATCCTTGTGGCTGGTGGGTTGCTCAGTGGAAAATAACTCAGGTCCCACCTCACTGCATATGGAAGGGCTGACTGCAATGCCACCAATGGCTCTTGAATCTTCACCGAGGGGCAGAGTGTGTGTGTGTGTGTGTGTGTGTGTGTGTGTGTGTGAGAGAGCGAGCTCACAGTACCCACTGCTGACTGTACCAATGAATCACGAGGTGGGCTCGTGAATTGAGAGCTAGGTACCATCCTCTTTCAAGATTCAAACAGCCCAGAGTGACACCGCTCTTCTGCCTAACCGGCAACGCCCGCCTAGAAGTTTGGTAATTTTTTGTTTTAAAGATTGGGGTGGGGGGTGGGAACCCAAACGCAGTCCCTCATGATAAAACAGCTTTATTGCTGCAATCAATCCAGAGAGAGGAGCCTCCCGTGTTGGTTGAACGCGCTTCGCGTGCACATGGGCTTGCATTCCCAGGAGAGCAGTATCCGGGCTGATGGATCTCCCCCATAAAAACGGCCTTGGCGTGGGGCCATTGTGAAATGAAAATGAATTCAGATCCGCTCAGGCGTGCAACTTTAATTTACAATTAAAATATTATGGTTACATATTTTAATAAGAATAATTAGATGGACCCAACCGAATCAACCCTCCTGTTTAATGAGACAGAGCCCAGAATCCTGATGAAAAGGCAGGGGGCTGTGACAGGGAACACGTCCCCAGCAGGGTCTTTTGTGGAGTCAGGCGTTTTGTGCCTTGTACGGTCTGATGTCCAGCGGGAGCATTGGGCTTTCCTGCGTGACTGAGGCCCGAGCCTCTGGGAGGCGGGCGTGAGCCCCTCCTGCTGCCCCGCCTGTGTCACCGCGGCTGACGTGCTGGCCCTCCGAGGCAGGGCGTTCGTCCCTCTGCCCCGCGCTCACTCGGTGTAAATGGGATGTACAGGGAGAAAAATCTTATAAATTCCTCTTTAACCACATACCTGCTTTATTTATTTAACAATGAAAGAATTCTAGCCCAGCTCTCCTGGATCAGTGGCTGAGCGTCAACCCATGAGCCAGGAGGTCAGGGTTTGATTCCCGGTCGGGGCACACGTGTGCCTGGGTTGTGGGCTCCATCCCCAGGAGGGGGCGTGCAGGAGGCAGCCAATCCATGGTTCTCTCTCAGCAGTGATGTTTCTCTCTCTCTCCCCCTCTCCCTTCCTCTCTGCAACCAATAAAAATGTGTGTTAAAAAAAAGAAGAAATCAATAAAAACATGTTTAAAAATCTTATTTTTAAAGGCAGTTCTACCTCCGTGCAGTGCTTCTTCTTTTGTGTGCGGATCTTTGCTCTCCCGGATGGTGACGGCTGAAGGCCACCTTCAGGGACTCACACTGTTAGCAAAGGGTGTGTGCTCTCTTCTCCGAAGGGTATACACTTCATTCTGAACACAGTGGCCTTATCAGCTATTGACACCCTAGTGGCAATAAGTCCGCCAGCTCTGCAGGTGGCCAGTGGCCGGGAGGGTTTCAGGCACAGGAGGACACCTGCCTCCAGGGAGCGGCCAGGCCCTGGGGGACAGTGGGGAGGGGACCGGTGGGAGGGGAAAGGTAGCTGGGACGGGGGAGGGGACCGGTGGGAGGCATATGCTTCTGTGTTGGGTGTGTTGGCTCTAAGCTTGACCACACATCCCCAAGGTGCATGATGCTGAGGGACGGTGACCTCTGAGGCAGGCTCTAGGAAGGCATGGTTTTGGCATTGGGAAAGTGGTTAGAAAATGACGGAGCTACCACCAGGGAGTGTCATTAAAGAACAGCCCACAGCAGGCTCCCGCCTGGTGTCCTGTGATGCCGAGGACTTTGAAGGAAAGTGACAAGACAAAACACTCCCCCTCTCTCTAAGACGGAACTTGTTGTGCTCCCTCCCTCCTCCCCTCGCTGCCTCTCAGATATGATAGTCACAGGGGAGCTGGGAGTGGGGTATGTGGGGATCCTCTGCTATCGTCACAGCTTTTCTGTGCTTCTAAACAGTTCTGGAGTAAACTGTTTTAGAACAAATAACATCTTATTATCTGTGTTCAAATAGGAAGAATTCTAAAAGGTTGTGCA